GTGCAATGTGAACACAGCAGCAACTGAATGCTACCCCAGATAGTCACGCAGTGTGAAAACAACGGCGATCCGACGAGTTTGAAAATCGTGCAGTGTGAACTCGGCATAACGCAGCAGCTTATTCATTGTAAGTCTGTCCATGAAGCCTCTGCCTCTCTATACCAGTAATTGAGATTGAACTTTATTGACAAATTGCACACAGAATTCCATAGCTGTATATCTTTATTTTTTGGGACCAAGACGGGGGCCCTTGCCATCACATTTTGGTCTTGTGTAAAAATATAGAAAACAAATTCCTGAGTATAAAACTCATTATGCTCACACTTTAGTTTGGGGTTGAATTCTTACTATTAACTATGACTGGAAAAAAATATATATATATATATTTTTTTTTTTTTCACATATTGTTATTTTTTTTTACCTAATTTGCTGCTTATTAATAGTTAGTAAGGTAGTTGTTAAGTTTTGGTATGAGGTAGGATTAAGGTATCTAAAATATGGTTATGCAGAATAAGGCATTAATATGTTCTTAATATGTACGAATAAACAGTCAATATGCTAGTAAATGCATGCTAATAAGCAACTAGTTAATACTGAGAATTGGTCCCTAAACTGAAGTGTTACCCTTATTATTTTATTAAATTTCTTGATTACGTTATTAATTATAAAATGTGTCCTTAAATACTTTGATTTTGTATTGTATTACTGTAGTTTGTCACAGTAAACCATGACTAAAATTGTCCAACAGATACAGAGTATCCTGCTTCCTCGGATGAAATACTTTACAAATCACATAAATTACTTAACCACATAAATTACGTACAAAGAATTTTTTTTATTTATTTTTTTTAAAATTACAGCTATACGGTGGCTTAGTACTCCACCATGTATTACTCTTCATTATAAGCATAAAGCAATTACGGTTGTTTTCCTAATCCAGTGATTGTGAACCGTTTCACACTCATTAAAAGTTAATGACATTCCTTAAAGGGTTAGTTCATCCAAAAATGAAAATGCTGTCATTAATTACTCACCCTCGTGTTGTTCGAAACCCGTAAGACCTTCGTTCATCTTCGGAACACAATTTAAGATATTTTTGATT